ATAGCCATCAGAATAGTATCTTGTGGGGTATGATGAGATATAAAGGGGGATCAATATATGATAGCCATCAGAATAGTATCTAGTGGGGTATGATGAGATATAAACGGGGGATCAATATATGACAGCCATCAGAATAGTATCTAGTGGGGTATGTTGAGATATGAAGGGGGATCAATATATGATAGCCATCAGAATAGTATCTAGTGGGGTATGATGAGATATAAAGGGGGATCAATATATGATAGCCATCAGAATAGTATCTAGTGGGGTATGATGAGATATAAAGGGGGATCAATATATGATAGCCATCAGAATAGTATCTAGTGGGGTATGATGAGATATAAAGGGGGATCAATATATGATAGCCATCAGAATAGTATCTAGTGGGGTATGATGAGATATAAATGATGAGATATAAAGGGGGATCAATATATGATAGCCATCAGAATAGTATCTAGTGGGGTATGATGAGATATATAGGGGTATCAATATATGATAGCCATCAGAATAGTATCTAGTGGGGTATATGAATAAACGGGGGATCAATATATGATAGCCATCAGAATAGTATCTAGTGGGGTATGATGAGATATAAAGGGGGATCAATATATGATAGCCATCAGAATAGTATCTAGTGGGGTATGATGAGATATAAAGGGGGATCAATATATGATAGCCATCAGAATAGTATCTAGTGGGGTATGTTGAGATATAAAGGGGGATCAATATATGACAGCCATCAGAATAGTATCTAGAATAGTATCTAGGGGGTATGATGAGATATAAAGGGGGATCAATATATGATAGCCATCAGAATAATAGTATAGTGGGGTATGATGAGATATAAAGGGGGATCAATATATGATAGCCATCAGAATAGTATCTAGTGGGGTATGATGAGATATAAAGGGGGATGATATATGATATATCAGAATAGTATCTAGGGGGTATGATAATATATGATAGCCATCAGAATAGTATCTAGTGGGGTATGATGAGGTATAAAGGGGGATCAATATATGATATTTATCAGAATAGTATCTAGGGGGTATGATGAGATATAAAGGGGGATCAATATATGATAGCCATCAGAATAGTATCTAGTGGGGTATGATGAGATATAAAGGGGGATCAATATATGATAGCCATCAGAATAGTATCTAGTGGGGTATGATGAGATATAAAGGGGGATCAATATATGATAGCCATCAGAATAGTATCTAGTGGGGTATGATGAGATATAAAGGGGGATCAATATATGATAGCCATCAGAATAGTATCTAGTGGGGTATGTTGAGAGATGAAGGGGGATCAATATATGATAGCCATCAGAATAGTATCTAGTGGGGTATGATGAGATATAAATATATGGGATCAATATATGATAGCCATCAGAATAGTATCTAGTGGGGTATGATGAGATATAAAGGGGGATCAATATATGATAGCCATCAGAATAGTATCTAGTGGGGTATGATGAGATATAAAGGGGGATCAATATATGATAGCCATCAGAATAGTATCTAGTGGGGTATGATGAGATATAAAGGGGGATCAATATATGATAGCCATCAGAATAGTATCTAGTGGGGTATGATGAGATATAAACGGGGGATCAATATATGATAGCCATCAGAATAGTATCTAGTGGGGTATGATGAGATATAAAGGGGGATCAATATATGATAGCCATCAGAATAGTATCTAGTGGGGTATGATGAGATATAAAGGGGGATCAATATATGATAGCCATCAGAATAGTATCTAGTGGGGTATGATGAGATATAAAGGGGGATCAATATATGATAGCCATCAGAATAGTATCTAGTGGGGTATGATGAGATATAAAGGGGGATCAATATATGATAGCCATCAGAATAGTATCTAGGGGGGTATGATGAGATATAAAGGGGGATCAATATATGATAGCCATCAGAATAGTATCTAAGGAGGAGAGGGTATGATGAGGTTTAAAGGGGGATAAATATATGATAGCCATCAGAATAGTATCTAGGGGGGTATGATGAGATATAAACGGGGATCAATATATGATAGCCATCAGAATAGTATCTAGTGGGGTATGATGAGATATAAAGGGGGATCAATATATGATAGCCATCAGAATAGTATCTAGTGGGGTATGATGAGATATAAAGGGGGATCAATATATGACAGCCATCAGAATAGTATCTAGGGGGGTATGATGAGATATAAAGGGGGATCAATATATGATAGCCATCAGAATAGTATCTAGGGGGGTATGATGAGATATAAAGGGGGATCAATATATGATAGCCATCAGAATGGTATCTAGTGGGGTATGATGAGATATAAAGGGGGATCATATATGATAGCCATCAGAATAGTATCTAGGGTGGGGAGGGTATGATGAGATATAAAGGGGATATAATATATGATAGCCATCAGAATAGTATCTAGTGGGGTATGATGAGATATAAAGGGGGATCAATATATGATAGCCATCAGAATAGTATCTAGTGGGGTATGATGAGATATAAAGGGGGATCAATATATGATAGCCATCAGAATAGTATCTAGTGGGGTATGATGAGATATAAAGGGGGATCAATATATGATAGCTATCAGAATAGTATCTAGGGTGGGGAGGGTATGATGAGGTTTAAAGGGAGATAAATATATGATAGCCATCAGAATAGTATCTAGGGGGGTATGATGAGATATTAAGGGGGATCAATATATGATAGCAATCAGAATAGTATCTAGGGTGGGGAGGGTATGATGAGATATAAAGGGGGATCAATATATGATAGCCATCAGAATAGTATCTAGGGGAGTATAATGAGATATAAAGGGGGATCAATATATGATAGCCATCAGAATAGTATCTAGGGGAGTATAATGAGATATAAAGGGGGATCAATATATGATAGCCATCAGAATAGTATCTAGTGGGGGGGGTTATGATGAGATATGAACGGGGGATCAATATATGATAGCTATAAGAATAGTATCCAGGGGGAGGGTATGATGAGAAATAAACGGAGGATCAATATATGATAGCCATCAGAATAGTATCTAGTGGGGTACGATGAGATATAAAGGGGGATCAATATATGATAGCCATCAGAATAGTATCTAGTGGGGTATGATGAGATATAAAGGTGGATCAATATATGATGGCTATCAAAATACTATCCAAGGGGAGGGTATGATGATATAAACGGGGGATGAATATATGATAGCAAACAGAATAGTATCTAGTGGGGTATGATGAGATATAAACGGGGGATCAATATATACTAGATACTATAAAACTGGGAAACAGGACAAACAAAGACAACAAGACATCCAACCAGGAACAAGCAACAAATACTGACAACAGAGCACAAAACAGGAACAAGGGACAAACAATGACAACAAGATATCCAACCTGGGACAAGCAACAAATACTGACAACAGGACACCAAAACAGGAACAAGGGACAAACAAAGACAACAAGACATCCAACCAGGGACAAGCAACAAATACTGACAACAGGGCACCAAAACAGGAAGAGAGGACAAACAAAGACAACAAGACATCCAACCAGGGACAAGCAACAAATACTGACAACAGGGCACCAAAACAGGAAGAGAGGACAAACAAAGACAACAAGACATCCAACCAGGGACAAGCAACAAATACTGACAACAGGGCACCAAAACAGGAAGAGAGGACAAAGAAAACAGAAAGTCAACGGAGTCCAATAAAAGTATACAGTACAACAAATAGCAAATCTGAGAGGCATTCTTATTTTAGCAACTATGCTACACCTACTAATTGTGTGTGGAATTAACATCCGGTTAAACTTGTCACAAGAGAAGACTATAATAGGTTCTCTGTTATCTAATACCATTGATATCTGTATGAATACAATGAAAATTAAATCATGCTCAAAATTGTATTTTTCCTATCCTCATATTTTATCCAATTTAAAGACTGAAATGTGGGGCCCTGGTTTTATGACATTCAAACTTTTGGTACAGCACCTCAAGAACCTTCCATTCATTAAGGGAACATTATTCTACCATATCTGGCTTCTCTGAAATGAAAGAATGATACCATTTTTCTGTTAGGTAAAATTTCTTTCTCCTATTTAAGACTGACTGAAGGGACAAGTAATGCTTTGCAATACCCTGATTGTTCGTTTATTTTATTTTGTATCTCTTTTTCATTCATTTGTCGTGTGTTTCAACATTTCAGCTTTATGTCATTGAACATCTCTAATTATTATTTGTTTCTCAATCACGTGATTGTAAGCTGGCACAATGACATTTTGATCTAGGGGAGACAACTCCATTTAAAACTTGTTTTAATTGCAGTCATAAAACATGTTACAGATAACCTGTTAAATTACCAAACATTGATCTTTAAATGTTATACTGATATGTATATCTGCTATACATGTTCCGCTATACACAAGGAATTTCTGGCCAGAACATCTCGGAGAAGGAAGTTAACAACCATTCCTTCCAACAAAAGAGAAAGCTGACACAAATTGTTTCAGATCAGTATATTAGGCAGCTTTCCGACTCTTTGTCCAATGGAATAATTTGATCATAAACACACTATATCTTCAAACTACCTATAAACACAGGAACATAATGAATATTTTATATTCACAACAAAAATGAAGAAAATAAGTAAAAAGACAATATATTTTTTTTTTTTAAATTCTAATACATTTACACAGAGGACAAGTATACATTATTTTGTGTGTGAACTATCAAATAAATTCTCATTGCATGAAATAAATCTACAACTGTAGGTCAAAATACTACTTTGTGTATGACTTGTGTATCCCAGTGATCTATGTTAATTACAAAATGTTCCAAATACTTTGTAATTGCATGATATCAAATCTAAGAGCAATATGTTGATATGTCTTCACACTTTGAAGTGGCAGCGTGAACAACTTCTAGTGATCTAATAGCTGGTCCTGGCTGAAGATTCAAATGTGACAATGTGCTTTAAAGGGCCACCATTTTAAAAAACCTGAAACCACTACCTATTAATATACATTTTTCACATTGAGATGGATATAGCAACACTGGGTGGGAAGATGGAGTGGTGTGCATGTGAGTGGGTTTGTGTGGCTGTGTGTTATGTTGTGTGTGTGGTGTGTGTGTTATGGTGTGTGTGTGGTGTGTGTTTGGTGTGTGTGTGGTGTGTGTGTGGTGTGTGTGTGGTGTGTGTGTGGTGTGTGTGTGTGGTGTGTGTGTGGTGTGTGTGTGGTGTGTGTGGTGTGTGTGTGTGTGTGTGTGGTGTGTGTGTGTGGTGTGAGTGAGGTGTGTGTGTGGTGTGTGTGTGTGTGGTGGATACAGGGATGCAGTTGCATGCATAGTGGTTCCACTTTTTTTCTATGATTTTTGTGAAATCCTGAAATCTGTGGAGTTCTGCAGTTCTACTTTCTCCCATGAGTTTTGTGACATCCTGAAATCTGTGGAGTTCTGCAGTTCTACTTTCTCCCATGAGTTTTGTGACATCCTGAAATCTGTGGAGTTCTGCAGTTCTACTTTCTCCCATGAGTTTTGTGACATCCTGAAATCTGTGGAGTTCTGCAGTTCTACTTTCTCCCATGAGTTTTGTGACATCCTGAAATCTGTTGAGTTCTTTTACATTAACATAGGTTATCCACTTTCTACCATGAGTTTTGTGACATCCTGAAATCTGTGGAGTTCTGCAGTTCTACTTTCTCCCATGAGTTTTGTGACATCCTGAAATCTGTGGAGTTCTTTTACATTAACATAGGTTATCCACTTTCTCCCATGAGTTTTGTGACATCCTGAAATCTGTTGAGTTCTGCAGTTCTACTTTCTCCCATGAGTTTTGTGACATCCTGAAATCTGTTGAGTTCTTTTACATTAACATAGGTTATCCACTTTCTCCCATGAGTTTTGTGACATCCTGAAATCTGTTGAGTTCTGCAGTTCTACTTTCTCCCATGAGTTTTGTGACATCCTGAAATCTGTTGAGTTCTTTTACATTAACATAGGTTATCCACTTTCTCCCATGATTTTTGTGAAGTCCTGAAATCTGTTGAGTTCTTTTACATTAACATAGGTTATCCACTTTCTCCCATGAGTTTTGTGAAGTCCTGAAATCTGTGGAGTTCTTTAGCAGTAACAGTCCTTCTGTGAGTTTCCACTGACTTCATGAAGTCTGATAATGTTACAATCCTGGGTAGAACCTGAAATGTTACCTGTTCACCATGAATGCTGGAGTCTAGCAAAATAACCAAGGGCAATAACTCTTGTCAGGTCAATGTACCACATGTGAAGAGAGGGAAGGGCTTTGTTTTAATGAAAATTATACCAAGTTTTAAACAAAGTTACACAAAAATTAAACTAAAACTGAGAAAGTATACAAAATTATATCACTGAAAATCAAAACAATAACAAAAAAGAACAGCAACACCACCAAAAAATAATAAAATCAATATCCGCGAAAAATGAACTTCAGATTATTTTTTTATGATTTTAAAAGTTTCTCTTAAACACATGAATATAATTTTCTGACCTATATTGCCCCTACCTTGTCAGGTGGTAGATCTGTAATGCAAGCTTCTACAGTTCCCTCACTGCCCTCCTCAGCAGGGATGAAACTGCCATCTACAGAATTGAGAATGGAAAAATACTTGATGAATGAAGACGAATAGAACATCAAAACAGCCAGGTGTAACATATATCTGTAGGGGTGAGGGCTAACATTTATGATTCTGTCTACATCACTGATAGGTGGCTTATTACTGTCTCACAAATTCAAATAGCAAACTATTAGAAATTGCTGTCATGAACTACAAATGTACATGTCTGTTAAAATTTTATGCTATGATTTTATATAGAGTATATGGCATGGTCATGCAACTTAGAGTTATGATGTTTAGTTTGCACTTGTGAAAAGTATTTTGCCCCGGCAGCTGTCAAATGTTGGAGACATTACTGTTACTGATAATTCTTGTTAGTAACTTTTCTATTCTCTACTTCAATGTCCCTCTAACAAAAAGTGGAAAAGGGCAGACACAGACATATTGGCTTTCTAATTGTTGTACATCATGTATATGGTTTCAGGGTCTCAATATTTGTTTTGTATATGGCCGGGGACAGTAGAGTCCTAACTGGCAGCTTTTTGTAGAAGTATTGCACATTTCTCTTTTGAGTTGAGGGGAGAATTTGACCTGAAGTTGTCTTATTTAAACACAAACCATTAGAGATTACTCCTTAAAATTAGCACACAAATATAAGATTTGATTGGCCTCAAGCAAATTGTTGTTTCCAATTCTTAGATATAAAGCAATTCCTCAATGACCTGATTATTTACCTAGATGTTGGCTTCAAAATTGTGTCAAGGTTTCTGAAAGGACTAAATTGAAGTTTTTGTTTGAATTACCTGGTTGTTGTTTCCAAAATGTAGATGTTTGAAGATCCCTAATTGGCCTGAAGAGAGCCTCCAGCATCATGTTCGCTATATCACTGCCGGAGTAGCCTTCAGTATTGGTACCCAAGACCTGCCATTCTTCCTTTGTAAAATCCAGCTTGTTACCGATAGTGTGGATCTTCATCAGCTGTATACGAGCTTGTCTGAGGACAAATGTATATACTTGTACAATTTATAAAATATGTCTCTAACTGATAGAAGTTTACAACAATGTACAAAAATTACAAAACAAGTTATTCTAACTATTAATTTCTGTTGTTGATGGAAGGGAGTAAGGGGTCTTACTGTGGTAGGATACTGCAGTACCCAGGAAAAACCCACATGTTTGGGTAGTTCACTCCATAGCTTTTCAAATATTTTGGGGTATTCTAACCCCTTGGATTGCAAATTCAGTAGACACAATTCACTATTGTAAATAAATTACAAATATACAGTATGCTTTTCAAAAAGGAGATATTTATAGATTTAGAGATACTGTACTGGATATAATGAATTAACAAAGGGGAATTAAAGTCTGTATAAGGGAGATGCTAGCCCAATGATTAAAGCAAGGGGAGGTAACACACTCGGGTCCATCAAGTCAATTTTTTCAAGAATTCAAAAATTTCCTTGTTGTTGCAGATGCAAATTATACTGCACATTCCAAACCTGGGAGACATTGTGAGTGTTTTGACCAAGGGGTAGAGTACCATGAAATTTTTTTTGTAAAACAGTGTTCATCAAAATCTTATTTTCACAGAAATTTCTAATTTCAGAAATAACTGTAAGAAAACTTGGAGTAGTAACATACCAGCTATCTTTGAACATTTTTGTGTTTCTATAACTTCAGATGTAAAATATTCAAATTTGACAAAAGACATTTAATCATTGTTACTTATAGCACAGCTTGAATGTAACATTCCTACAAACAACACCAAATATATTTCAAAATACAAAGCCAAACTAATGGGAGACAATACAATCATCAGCTTGCCAGTTAGATGTCCAGTTAGAGCCCATTAAACATGACTTGTGTCAATGACCTTTTCCTTAATTTCTATTTGAGAGATTAGATTTATCCTGAGGTCTGTCTTTAAGGCAGGTTTCTACATATAAACACCAATATGACAAAGCTCTATCAGGGGAAATAACTAAGGGATTCTCCACACTGATACAAACACCAGGTGGACACAATTTACTGATGATATTATACATCATCTAATCAAATAACATACTTGTCTGGCAGTGGAATATAAATTCTTTTTTGAAATCTCCTTAGAAAAGCAGAGTCCAATTCCCACGGGCAATTTGTGGCACAAAGAAGGAATATTTTGTCAGCTTTGTCAGAGTTGTCTGCCCCTTCCATTTGTCTGAGCAGCTCTGTTTTTATACGTCTTGTGTGTTCCTCTTCTCTGGAGTTCCTTTGACGACTGATACTGTCTATCTCATCTATAAATATCACCTGTATAAAGGACAGATAACTCTGGATATAATTCATGTCAGATAGTGGTCATACAATCCTGCCAATGAAACAAAGCTCTCAGAATTAATGTCTTGACAGAATTTTCTTAAAGGGACAAGTGGATTGATAGAGGAATTGATAAATTGTAAAGGTTAGAAAATGGCTAAAACATGAATGTCACATTGTAATTAACATTAGTGACATTGGTTGGTTAGTTACAGATTGTCTGCATCTATGACTCTTCCTATGTCTGGGCATTGTCTCAATGACGACGTCAGGGTTCTGGCAACGTGAATATTAGCAATACTGCTTGACATATTGATGTTAATAGGAACAATGTCTTTGACCTTTGATTTTGAACCTTTACATACAATTTTATCAAACATTAAAGTCTCCAGAGTGATGATATTAAACTAGTAGGAAAACAGAGTAACATTTATATGGATATAAAATGAAGGTTATCAGGAAAATTTTGCTCTTCCTTATTTTTCTGTCACCATCAAGACAATAATGAATTTTTTTTTTTAACTTTTACTTACTGATCTTCCTTTCTGAGTGGTAGCATGTTGGAAAAGTTCCTTAATTAATCTGAAATGAATACCAACATGACAGAAAAAACTGCAAGAAAATACCATGATAGCAACATAATCATAATCCAAACTCAATTCCTTAAACCTAGGGCAAAGTATGAAGAAAAGAAAGATTTTCAAGTAGACTCTTGAAAAAGAATAAGAGCAGGTGTCCTGGAAGAGTACGTGTCTACTGCATAATTGACGACAATTGCCATGTAAACCTTGGTCAATCCAAGTAAGCAATGTCAAATTCTCCAATACAAACAAGGTATACAACAACAGAACCACAGGCAAACTAACAACATCAAACACATCCAGCTTCATATCACCCAAGAAATAGAATATTTCTAAATGAGATCCCTGTGGCAACCTTAAAACTTTCCCATAATTTTCAGTAACTTGCATTTTTTTAATCCCTGTGTTACAATTTGTCCGTCAGTTGACAACTTCTTGTGCGAAAATCATGATAGTGGGAACAGGCCCTTAAATATCAAATCTGCTGTAAAATGTAAATGCCATAGGTTGGAGATGCAGGGACATTGCTATCCAGAAATGGAAAATTGACAATAGATAAATTGAAATCATCACGTTTATCATACAGTTTGGTGCAAGGTCTTTGTGACCCATTTTGATAAGCTCTTCTATAAATTAGCCTTGTATAAATTAGCCTTATATAAATTAGACTTGTATAAATTAGCCTTCTATAAATTAGACTTGTATAAATTAGCCTTCTATAAATTAGACTTGTATAAATTAGCCTTGTATAAATTAGCCTTGTATAAATTAGACTTGTATAAATTAGCCTTGTATAAATTAGACTTCTATAAATTAGCCTTGTATAAATTAGCCTTGTATAAATTAGCCTTGTATAAATTAGACTTGTATAAATTAGACTTGTATAAATTAGCCTTGTATAAATTAGACTTTGTATAAATTAGACTATAAATTAGCCTTGTATAAATTAGACTTGTATAAATTAGCCTTGTATAAATTAGACTTGTATAAATTAGACTTGTATAAATTAGCCTTGTATAAATTAGACTTCTATAAATTAGCCTTGTATAAATTAGACTTCTATAAATTAGCCTTGTATAAATTAGCCTTGTATAAATTAGACTTGTATAAATTAGCCTTCTATAAATTAGACTTGTATAAATTAGCCTTCTATAAATTAGACTTGTATAAATTAGACTTGTATAAATTAGACTTGTATAAATTAGACTTCTATAAATTAGCCTTGTATAAATTAGCCTTGTATAAATTAGACTTGTATAAATTAGACTTGTATAAATTAGCCTTGTATAAATTAGCCTTGTATAAATTAGACTTGTATAAATTAGCCTTGTATAAATTAGCCTTGTATAAATTAGACTTGTATAAATTAGATAAATTAGACTTGTATAAATTAGCCTTGTATAAATTAGCCTTGTATAAATTAGACTTGTATAAATTAGCCTTGTATAAATTAGACTTGTATAAATTAGACTTGTATAAATTAGACTTGTATAAATTAGCCTTGTATAAATTAGACTTGTATAAATTAGACTTGTATAAATTAGACTAAAATTAGCCTTGTATAAATTAGCCTTGTATAAATTAGACTTGTATAAATTAGACTTGTATAAATTAGCCTTGTATAAATTAGACTTGTATAAATTAGACCTTGTATAAATTAGCCTTGTATAAATTAGACTTGTATAAATTAGCCTTGTATAAATTAGACTTGTATAAATTAGAATTGTATAAATTAGCCTTGTATAAATTAGACTTGTATAAATTAGCCTTGTATAAATTAGACCTTGTATAAATTAGATAAATTAGCCTTGTATAAATTAGCCTATAAATTAGTATTTAGACTTGTATAAATTAGCCTTGTATAAATTAGCCTTGTATAAATTAGACTTGTATAAATTAGACTTGTATAAATTAGCCTTGTATAAATTAGACTTGTATAAATTAGACTTGTATAAATTAGCCTTGTATAAATTAGACTTGTATAAATTAGACCTTGTATAAATTAGACTTGTATAAATTAGACTTGTATAAATTAGCCTTGTATAAATTAGCCTTGTATAAATTAGACTTGTATAAATTGTATAAATTAGACTTGTATAAATTAGCCTTGTATAAATTAGACTTGTATAAATTAGCCTTGTATAAATTAGACTTCTATAAATTAGCCTTGTATAAATTAGCCTTTTAAATAATAAATTAGACTTGTATAAATTAGACTTGTATAAATTAGACTTGTATAAATTAGCTATAAATTAGCCTTGTATAAATTAGACTTCTATAAATTAGCCTTGTATAAATTAGGAAATTGTTGTATAAATTAGACTTTTATAAATCAGACTTGTATAAATTAGCCTTGTATAAATTAGACTTGTATAAATTAGCCTTGTATAAATTAGCCTTGTATAAATTAGACTTGTATAAATTAGCCTTGTATAAATTAGACTTCTATAAATTAGACTTGTATAAATTAGCCTTGTATAAATTAGCCTTGTATAAATTAGACTTGTATAAATTAGCCTTGTATAAATTAGACTTCTATAAATTAGACTTGTATAAATTAGACTTGTATAAATTAGCCTTGTATAAATTAGACTTGTATAAATTAGCCTTGTATAAATTAGACTTGTATAAATTAGACTTGTATAAATTAGCCTTGTATGAAAACAGAAACAAGTCAGCCAACAGAGTGTCTCAGTCAGTTCACACAAGTATGCCAATAGTCAGATTGAAGATCTTAACACCAAACTTGAAAAGGACAATCAGAGACTCGATCATGTTTATGATTTCGTCCTCCCTATATTTCTCCTTTGATGTGGACATATAGAAGTATTTAATTTCTGTATCAAGTGAAAACGTCCAGAACCAGAATAGAGAAAATTTATTGTGACATAATTTGTGAAACTATGAAAATATAATTTTTTTTTTTTTTTTTTACACAACTTTGATAATTAATGTATCATAACTGATGCAACATTTGTGATCTCTGGAAGGATTGTTTCAGTAGACATGCAGCTATTTCTTTTAACAAATTTTGCGAACACTTTCAACACACAAATATCTGATTTCACAAACACAGGTACAGAAATTTCTTTAAATTTGTGAATGTTAAGCTATTAGAGACCTGGACTGGTAACCAAATCAAAATGAATGCCATCAGGAGTTATTTCCAAACAATTCATCACAAATGATTTGAATATGCAATAGATTATCCTCAACTATTAATGCAAAAATTAATCCCGCACTAAATATAGGTGATTGTTTTGATCAGTATCCAATATCACTTTTGTTAAGTTGTCTGTATCCAGGGCAACACACACATAGTACTAATTCTATTTGTTATTACTCAATTTAGTGACAATCTTTCCAGTTAGTTGTAGAAGCTTTTTGATCGTAGTCATCGTGTTTAAATCTAAACATTTTACATCTACATTTGATTACTTTTCAAGATTTTTTTATGATGAAATTCAAGTGAATGTACAATATTTCACAAATTTTTTCTTGAACATAGTTTAGAAGGATCTTAGTAGAGTTAGTGTCTTGATTACTTTTCGCTTTCTCCAACCCAGCTGGATACGAGGTCAGAGCTGGACACACAGTAGAATGATGAATTTATCTCCGAGGAGATGGCATGAGCCAAGCGTGACTTTCCTGTACCTGGTGGTCCATACAGTAGGATACGTCGCCAAGGCTTGATAGCACCTGTACAAAAAACCTGATGTATATTATCTGTGTATACTATCAATGATTCAGTTACTTTTAATTTGAATAATTAAATATGTTGATAAAAAAAAACTTCTGTATATGGAGATTTCTCCTGACTCAGAACTAGAGTTAAAGACTGTATCTTTTTCTCATCTGATAACTCATCTTATAATTTTTGTTGAAATAGTTATAATTTCATTTTGTAAATATGATGCAAAACACAACTTTGTTAGTACATATCATTTGCACCTCACGAATATTAAATTAACAAAGAGTAAATAAATAAAGATCAAGTAATTCTTTTTTTTCTTTTTTGCAAATTTTAAATTCAAACTATTTATTTTAAATGCTTTGATACCTGTGAAGAGATGAGGGAAGTGTAAGGGCATTATGATTGCCTCGCGAAGAGCCTGCTTGGCATCACTTAGTCCTGCAATGTCTTGGAATGTCAGACCACCCTTTGTAACAATAGTGTCCTCAATAGCAATGCGACGTTGTAGTTTCTGTGTGTCATCTTCAAAAAACAAATCAGATTTTGTTTAGGATAAAAATCAACAAGCTTGATCTATATTGCAAATATGCTTTTTTTTTGGCTTTATGAAGATATATTATCATTTTTCTCTCTCTCGTGTGTGTGTGTGTGTGTGTGTGTGGGTGTGTGGGTGTGTGTGTGTGTGCGTGTGCGTGCGTGCATGCGTTTGTGACTTCATTTACCCTACGAAAACGAGGTACCAACCCTGAGTACACTCCCTTAAAGCGAGGTACGAAAATAAAGCTAGGTACTTTTTCCTGTTACCTCGCTTTGCGCACCCTGGTATATGCTTACAAACTTTATTCTAAGTCCACAGTGTTTAAACAAAATGTCACTGAAGTGAGGTACTGTAATGTACCTGACTTGGCTGGTTCAGTGTTGTCACACAATGTTTAAACAAAATGTCACTGAAGTGAGGTACTGAAATGTACCTGACTTGGCTGGTTCAGTGTTGTCACACAATGTTTAAACAAAATGTCACTGAAGTGAGGTACTGTAATGTACCTGACTTGGCTGGTTCAGTGTTGTCACACTGTGTTTAAACAAAATGTCGCTGAAGTGAGGTACTGTAATGTTGATGAAGTTTTAGACACATTAGTCAGTATTGTCATCTTTTATCTGAAGTGATGTATATTATGTATGTATATACATGTACATGTAAGCTACATTGTATACATCTTTCTCTGCTATTCTTCTGCTTCAACATAAAATGGAATACTAACAAGGCAACTTATTGGTTTGAGTGATGTTTTATAATATTTTTGTCTTTTAATTCACTGTGTGATTGTAAATCTGATGTTACCTAAAAGTAATGAAAATAAGGTAATTGATGATTTCATTGTTATTACAATAATGTTTAGTTTTAAACTTAATCAATATACTATAATATAAAAGAAACAATGTACGTGTCAAATTGTCTCCTTTGAAGTAACGGTTTATTGATAACCACCAGTTATAAACATAGAAATCGAGGTCATTTTAAATGATACGCAAATCTACCTCTCAATGCACGTAAAGTGTTTGATTGTTAAAGTTAAAATATTGAATCATCTACGGTGATACAAATACTTACAGTTGGATTTCTGGGTGGAAGAAAAATGAGATGAATAAGATAAAAGAAAACCAAAGGGCCTGCATTGCTCACCTGGTTATTTGGCCATTTAATAAAGAAATATGACAAACAGCTTCTGATTTTAATTTCTCTGTTCTCCATTTTTCTCTCACTAGGTTGGGGGTGGGAGGGAATTGAGGGAGGGGGGCCCCAAAACTTATTGTTTATACAAAACTGATTCCTTCACCCAAAAATGCATCCCATAAAATTTGGGCAATATCAATTCATTCCTACAGGAGGATTAGGGTTTTAAAGAACTTGCAAAATTTCCCTTTTTGAGCCCTGACCCTAAGATCTCTGGGGGCTGAGAATCAATCCAAGCACAAACTTTGTTCCCCTTCACCCAAGATCACTTATGACCAAATTTGGCTGAAATGCAATCATTCCTAATGGAGAAGTAGGATTTTAAGGAATTTGCTCTATTTCTGCAAATGGGCAATGCTCCTCATACCCCAAAGGCCTGGGAGCCACTGTTTATAAACAACTGATTCCCCTTTATCAATGAATACTTCAGACTAAATTTGAGAAGGAGAAGGATTTTAAGAAATCTGTTATCATTTATTATCATTATACTCTATTGCCACTGTTGGGCCCTGCCCATTCCACCCCAGGAGGCTGAGACCTTACGCTATTCAAGATTGATTTGGCTTCATCAAAGAATGCTTCAGGGCCCCGCACTCCTGCTCATACTTAAAAAAAGGAAAAAAAACCATTGTATTTAAAGCAAACCTATAGTCGTCTTGCTTCCCAGTATGAGACTAAAACGTTTACCTACCACATGATATAGTGCCTTTCTCTGGCCTTCCTGTAGATGCAGCATCTCCATCACAGCTAGGCTGACTTGAGTACTTCACAGTCTGAGTGTCAGAATTTAGCTGAGATATTTTCTTATGTAGAATATCTACATGAGAGCCCAATGATGTTTCCAACTGTAGTAAAATTCCCTACAATAAAGTCTTTATTATTCTACTCTATCATGACAGAATCTGCTCCAATGAAAACTGTTCTAGCTACTGTATGCAACACGTGTAGAATTGCTGGTATGGCAATAAAACTAGGTATAAAGTAAAACCTGTAAAATATTTCAAAAAGCTTTCCTGAGCAATGATGTGGAAAATCCATCTTAATTTCAAAATTCAAATTTCCCTCTAAATCAGGTTGAATTAGTAAATCCTGCTCCTGCCCCAGAAGTATACATGGATGTGTGTGTGATGGGATCACATTTAAGTGTGCATGTATAAACATTGTATGTATACAATGTATGTATGTACATGTACGTATATGCAGGGTTTTCCATAATTTTGTTAGTAGTAGGCTGTGTAGTGAAAGTAGGAGGCTGGCCTGCCATGTACGTGTAGTCGTGTATAGTGCATATGATATGACAAAATGGCCGTTCCAAAATACATATTGCATAACATGATACAGCTAAAAATGATCATGTTCAGACATATGATATGACAAAATGGCCGTTCCAAAATACATATTGATCCGGAATCGATGTTCAGACAATACTCTTCCTTGAAAACTTTGCTAGATAGAAGCAATGATGATTCATTGAAACAATTTTTTTTTCAGATTGATAAATCAATATAAAATCTCTCAGTTACCTAAATAACGTATCACATTAATCTTTTTACTTTAGGTTGATCATGTTTATTTAAATTTTCCTTAAATTTCTATGAAAGGTTTGGGATATCAGAATATGCATGCATGTACATATCATTTTCTCATTGTCCTCAGAAACGCATCTTTTTTCATGTTCCTTTTTGAATACCGTGTAAAATGTATCACTCTCAGAGGCAGACAACTGCTGGATAATCTGTCGACACCTAATGACATTCAGACACATCATCTGGACATCAATGTTGCTAGTCTTCTGGCCTTCATCAAGTGTTTCTTGTAAACTTAGACAGTTAGAAAGCACATTATTAATCATCAAGCTTCCCTATGGAATCACATGGAATATTTACATTATGTTTCAGAAAGAATATTTGTACACAATTCTATCTTAAAGCAAATAAAATGTAAAGCACAAAACAAACATTTTACCAATGAAAATTTGAAATTACTGTCTTATGCAGTTTGTATATATTATAAATAATTCCACAAACCAAATGAATTTTCATAGTGCAAACTGTAAATACAGTTTACAATTGTAAAGCTGAATCTACTCCTAGATCAAATAATAAATAGCATAAGTTACCACAGTTGATTTCTAGATACAACTTGACAATTTTTCAGCGTTAAGGAATCTTCCTCCTTTCAAAAATATCCTGCCAAAATAATGAACCCTGACCTTACTGGGCCAATATGAAATTAATTAATGATATAAAATGTACTAAATGTCATAGCCAAAAAATATGATTATGACTACAGACATCAGTATGGAGTTCAACTAAACTGTTTCAACACAGAGTACAGTGATAAATCTATATGCGAGTCCAGTGTCCTGTGCTAAGTCACATATACAGTAATTTCCATAAATATCTGAATTTTACATTATGTAATCCATTATTTTGGCGTTTGAATCAAAAAGGAATCATAAAATAAATGGAGGATTGGTCATTGTGATTCAGTGTTTTATTGCTTTGAGTTGAAAACTGGGCCAAATACTCACCTCAAGAGGGCTTCTGAATCCATGTTCAAAACAGCAATTGCAATAGAGAAAAAGTAAACAATTAAACATGAAATAAAGTATTGAATCGCATACATGTTGGCCTTTGCCAGACATTTTTACAGATCAAGCGAGAAAACTCTCAGATGATGATTTAAAATTTGGTACATTTTGCCCAATCACATCTACAGACCTACATCGTTGTGTATATTCTTCAAAAATGTACTTACATTGTGTAGAATAGAGTCCTCCCCTAATTTGTACATATGTAACCTAACAATTATTTCAGTTATTGTTATATTTGTTATATTCATTTGTAAGCAGAATTATTTCGCTTTTATCGAGATCAACATCCTTGCAACTGCCAGGGTCATGTGAGGTGGGAAAGCCGTAATGCTTGTACAGATAACCGAAAGCGACACCTTGAAATGTTACATTGATATGAAATTTACCTGCATGCAAACTGAGTTCTGGGTCAGCGTCTACATTCCGACTCGCGTTCATGTCCATTTGCATTTCTTTTGGGTCCTCCATCTTAAAATTACCCAATATAGATCATACAGACACTTGAATATTGGCGCGCGACAAATGTTTGATGTAAGCGTCTTAGTGATACAAAAATGCAGAAAAATGGCAACAGCACGAAGGCGGAGAATTACAAATCGCAAAGCTGGGGCTACTGGAGACCCGGTAGGTTCTTATATAAGTGAGTAATATGAAGTAGGCAATGCCTAAAATCGAGCGCAAGTTGATCAAGAAGATGCACATTTTGAACAGCCTGATCCATGTTTGCACTGAAGCGTGTTTTTTTTTAATTTGTTGTATATTTCGCAATATTTGAACAAAACATCGACACATACAAATGTACCAATATATCATCAGCAGCAGCAGCAACACATCTTCTTCTAGAAAACATTGTATCACCTTGATCAGGCGGTGGTTTGGTGGCGCAGTTGTAACACACTTGTCTATCACCTAGCCATTCGGGGTTCGATTCCCCGAAGGGATAGAAAGGATACAGGTTTCCTCCCAAAGTTCGACCCCTCTCTTGCTTACGACAAGTGTGATTTTTATAAGTTGAAATAACAAAGTTTCCATATGTAAGTAAGTCATGCACATACAATCATACACCATGAAGGCAGACAAAGAAGAACAAAACAAGGACGACAAGATAATGCAAAATGTGACACTTTCCGTTCGCGAAACTGTTTAAAAGAAAAACACAATCATATATATATATATTAATATTACAGCAAGTTAATTTCTAATTGTTCCATACAAAGTATTGAAATGGAGAACTTCTACTAGAGTACTAGCTTGATGCCTGTACAAAGTACTGAAATAGAGAACTTCTACTAGACTACTAGCTTGATGGCTGTACAATGTTTTGAGTATCGGGTAATTACCTTGAATGGTTTAAGATAAATGGTTTGAAAAAAGTTTTGTGGTTTGGCCTATGTTTCCATGGTAACAGAAAAAGTATTTAAATGGAAATCTTCCCCATAGCAAAACAGACTTCTAGCTTATAAAGTGTAAACAGTTTTGAGCAATTACCTTGTCAGAGTATTGGCTCAGAAAAACTGAAACTTTGATGAGGGTCATCAGTTTCAATGGTAACAATAAATGTATTAAAAAAGTCACTGACAACATATCTAGACTATAACAATTGATAAAAAGATCTTCAAAATAAATGCATAAGAGTTTCCCTTTAAGAGTTACAGATATTGCAGAGAGGACTTTCTATCATCTTTGCTTTAAAAAAAGAAGGTATTTTGTCAAAATATGGTGAAAGACAATATATTATAGTTTTAGTCGGATTTGTAAAGTTGGGGCTTATATGTTTACAAGTTTTCATTATTAAAATCACAATGTTCTCTCTCCCCGTTTTCTTATCTCTTTGCTATTGAGAGCTTTCGTTCTGTTCATTAACAAATCATAAAATGCTTCAGAACCTTTTAGTTTTTTAAGCAATTTGAACTTGTCCTGGTAGCAAAAAGAGGGTAAAGTTATAAACACTGTTGAGACTATTCTGTTATACATTGTAATTAAGAAAATCAATATAAATATATATGTTTAAATAAAATTCTTATGAAAGCCACAATATATTACATAAACTGCATTATTCTGGATACCCCCCCCCCCCCCACACACACACACAAAAACAAAAAAAAATCACCACTAATAGTTATTTTATCATTGTGCCTTATAAGTGTTTGCTGGAAATTTTCAAAACATTCAAATACATGATCATAATTAGCTATCGAAAGAACATCCTCATCTTGCAGAATTAATATAGTTAGGAGATGGGCGAGTTTTTCGTCAAATCGGGACCTTACGTCACTTTCCGTGAATGAGAAACACATCGTCTCGTTCATGGAAAGTGACGAAAGGTGCCGAACATTAAACCAGAAATCAGGTACATCAGAGCACAATCGAGCTCAAATCTTGAATGGTTAAAATTGCAATTTTTCAACGAGATATTTGTTATATACGTTTCAAACCATTAAAGTATATGTTTGTTAAATTCATCTGAATTATTTAAGACTTTTAGTATGATTTCATTTCTACATGAGAGCTTAAAACGATATTTTGTTGGTCAAAATAATTTTTAATCCATTCAACGGGTCGGCAGTTCTCATTGCGTGCTGCGGCAAGTGTATTGTGGGTAATGAAGTTCCTGCCACACTTCCGTTTAAAGTTGGTCCTATGGGCAGGTTGTTGGAGTTGAATTATCACACACACACACAATACCATAAAGTGCTTGCTGCGCTCACTATGATATCAATGTTAACTTATAGTTGAAGTGAGTGTTAAAATGATAGTTTCTGATTTTAGACTGAAGTGATACGGGAGTTATTAGTTTTGCAATTCGGTGTCGGGGGAAATTTGTGTGTGAAAATTGTAGGACATTATGCCTAATAAATCAAACCACAACCGACATCCCAATCCCATCTCCCCGACATAACCCCAATCCCATCCCTAACCAGCCTATGTCTATATGTCATTGTATACCAGGTTGTGTCGAAATGAAATTCATTCATTTATTATGATTTCAGAGAACTGAATTCTGTTGATATTGGACCTGCAAGGGGAAAGTGTTTCGGGGCAGATGATAGGCTAACATGGACTCCTGGATTACATCCTGTCCGGATATTAGACTACACAGAAACTAATGATGGCTCAGTGAAAATCCATTTCATAGGTAACTGTCAAATTAAATGTTTTCAATTTATTAATTCCAGTTGAAACTCTTGTCTTAAGTCAGAGTTAAATCAGAATTAACAATATCTATATAAAGCCCTGAGAATAACAATTGGTAAATATGATATGTATATCAATGAAATATTTAAGTGTTCTTTCAATCATACTGCTTTCAAGATCTGTAGACAGAACTTCGCATGAATTTGGAAATTCCCTCTCAGTCATATATACAATATTAATATTTAAGCACATATTCATAATTTGCTAGTTTTATTTTGATTTTATGATGCCTTCGCCATTAAATTGGGGGTGGGGGGAGGGAGGGGGATCGAGCATTGCACCCATGTCCATCTGTCTGCCACATTGTGCCCTGTCCCAAATCGCTATATAAAGCGATCCACTGATTATAGAGTAGCAGAGACATTTTGATAGTTCTATATCATACAAACTGAAGTATACCGATCAGGGGTTAGCAGGAAAGCATGGATGTTTGCCCCGCAGGAACATCAAAGAAATATGACTTCTGATTCCAACAACTTTTTGTAATGTGTAACAAAAACCAGTGACGTAATACACAGAATTATCAGAGAAGGATACGGATTGCGGACCAGATTATCATTATTGATCCAATACATTACATCTCCTCCCCTTTTAGCTGAAAACTACAATGTTGATTATTGAAACAGTCATTCATTAATTACTTGTCCTGTTATCTGTTCTGAAACAAAGAGTATAAAGTCATTGGCAGTTCAAATTCACTGCTCCCGAAATATGCTAACCTTGCACATATAAATTAAAGTCTATCCAAGAACATGAACTAATTAACCTTTTCAAAACAAATTAACCAGTTTGTAATTCAAAACAACTTGAAAATGCTTAAAGCTCACTAATTAAGAGTTCACAAAAGTATAGCATGGTTTCATGTGGCATAGTCTTTCAAGTAAGCCGGGGCTTTCCTCACTCTCTGTGGTCTCGGAGAATGTGTCACCATTGGTGAAGTGTTGACTTCCAGTATGGGTACTTGCGGATCAGGAGTACCTACCTCATCAGACTGGGATCTAACTGATTGACCGTCAACATCATCAACAACAGTGTCTGACAGAGTCAAGATAGGTTCAAACACCTCAGGTTCTGGGTTCAAGTCCTTTTCGGGTGTCAGACATTTTCGAGTACCAAGATGATTGACATGACGCAGCACAACAATTCCATCTGGGAACTGGACAGTATATGACACTGGTCCAGTTTTGCTGACAATCTGACCATACAACCACTTTTGACCACTGTAGAAATTCTTTACGATCACATCCTGTCCCACATCGAGATCGCGACCTTTTGCATGCTGATCATGTTTCTGTGACATCTGTTTATTCTGAACGTGCTGCCTGACCCCACTAGTGTTAGGATCTCGAATCAAATCAAGTACGGTTTTCAGTTTCCTGCCACACAAGAGTTCTGCTGGAGTCTTTCCAGTAGTAGATTGTTGGGTTGTTCTGTAGGACAACAAGAATCTCTGGAGCTTGGTATTCATCGTACCTGGTGTTCCCTCCATTTTTTTCAAACCTTCCTTCCCCACACAAACATACATTTCGGCTAAACCATTCGAAGCTTTGTGCTTTGGTGCAGTTTTGATGTGTTTGATACCATTAACGTTCACAAATTCCGTGAACTCCTCTCTAGTGAAACAAGTTCAGTTGTCTGACACAATGGTGTCGGGCAATCCATGTTGTGCAAAAGCTTGTCTAAGCTTCTCTATGGTGACGGCTGACGTTGACGTCCCTGAAGAATACACTTCCAGCCACTTGCTGTAAGCGTCAACGATAATCAAAAGCATTTGACCTTTGACAGGACCGGCGTAATCTATGTGAAGATGGGAGCATGGCCTCTCAGGCACCTGCCAAGGGTGCAGCGGAGCAGCAGCAGGTACTGCCTTGACCATCTGACAGTCTGTACACGTTTTTACCTTGGTTTCAATTTCATGGTCCAATCTCGGCCACCAAAAGTAGCTACGAGCAATGCTTTTCATTTTCACAACCCCAGGGTGTCCTTCATGGAGCTGTTCCAGTAACTTACCTCGACCCGGTGGAGGTACAACAATACGATTTCCCCATAAGACACATCCATTTTGTAGGCTTAGTTCTGTCCTTGTAGTATGGACGCATTTCCTCCTCGGTTCACCGCACAACACCTTGTAACACGGAATCATCGTTTGTCTGCTAAACAATGTCTTTTGCCTTGACAGGTGTGGACTCTAAGTAATTCATGACCAGGATGGTGTCGCCTGGTATGGGGACATACGTTTCCGTATCTCCCAATGGTAAACGACTGAGTTTGTCAGCATTTAAATGCTTTTTCCCTTTGCGATACCGAAGTTCGTAATCATAAGGGGATAAGAATAGAGCCCAACGTTGAACTCTCGGTGAAGCTATCTGTGGGATGGCTCTGTCTGCTCCCAACAGACCAAGCAAGGGCTTATGATCTGTATATATGGTAAATTGACGACAGAACAGATACTGATGGAATTTCTTAATCCCGAAAATTACAGATGCGCCTTCCTTGTCCAACTGAGAATAATTTTGTTCAGCCGGAGCTAAGTTTCGCGAGGCGTAATCTATAGGCCGTTCCTCACTGCCAACAACATGTGACAACACGGCTCCCAAACCATATGGTGATGTGTCACATGACAGGACTAGATCTTTCTCTGGATCGTAATGTACAAGCAATGCAGAGGATTGAAGCATCTCCTTTGCTTGTTTCCTGGCCTTTATCTGTCGTCATGTCCACTTCCACTACCTTTACTAAGAGTTCATGCAATGGTGCCAATACAGTTGACAAGTTAGGTAGATAGCAACCATAGTAATTCAACATTCCTAGGAATGATTGCAGTGCCTTGACATTGGTGGGTGCTGGCGCTTCCTTTATAGCAAGTACATTTTCCTCAGTGGGTTGAATACCATCTTTGTTAATTCTATGACCCAGGTAAACAGCCTCTGGAGCTATGAACACACATTTTCCCTTTTTAAGGTGAACTCCCGCGCTTTCTAACCTCCTCAGAACTTCCGTCAAGTTCTGCAAGTGAAGATCCTTAGTATGACCTGTTACGAGAATGTTGTTGACGCGCACCACAACATTCAGTATGCCCTGTAAAATGTTCTCAATCATTCACTGAAAAAATCCGGGCGCGGATGAAATTCTGTAAGGTAGTCTGTTGTACCGGAAAAGGCCCTTATGAGCATTAATGGTAGTGTATTTCTTAGAGTCTTTGTCCAGCTCTAACTGTTGATATGCTTGACTTAAGTCAAGTTTTGTGAATTCCGAACCTCCACCTAGTGTAGCATACAGGTCTTCAGTTTTTGGTATTGGATAATTTCCGTGCTGATTCTGAGATTGACTTCTAGGGGGATTTGAGCCATGATGATGAACACGATGGACTGAACTCGCTCCTTGGGCTTCCATACTATGTGCTTGCTTGGAAGACAGTTCCATAGTACTGGCTATAGTTCTCAACTGATCAAGAGTTAGTTCATGACCTTTATCCAGTAATTTAGTGCGTAGCTTGCTGGAATGACTCTTTTCAATCACCGCGTCCCTAATGTGTTCATTCGGATTGTCAAATTGACACAGGGCTTCCTTTTGCCTCAATCGCGTTATGAACGGATTGATTGTTTCATTATCTTCCTGCCTCATTGTTCTAAAATGTTACCGTTCGTAGGGCACGTTTACTTTCGATTCAAAGTAGTTACTCAGAGTTTGTTTGGCTTTCTCATACGTATCGAGAGTTTCGCTCTGTACCTCTGCCAGGGTATAAAAAATGTCCTGTACTTAGATGCCTGCACAGTGTAACAGCAACGCCTGTTTTTGATCCTTATCAGTGACCCCTTTCCCCAGTGCGAATAACTCAAACCCCTTGTAGATTAAACTTTTCCACACCATTTAACTCAATTTGAGCCATTTCTACCCTTTTTATATACCATTCACGTTCTTTGTGATTATCATCGCCAGAATGAAGTTTACCAATCAGGGGTTAGCAGGAAAGCACGGATGTTTGCCCCGCAGGAACATCAAAGAAATATGACTTCTGATTCCAACAACTTTTTGTAATGTGTAACAAAAACCAGTGACGTAATACACAGAATTATCAGAGAAGGATACGGATTGCTGACCGGATTATCATTATTGATCCAATACATTACACAAATATTTTTGTATACTATATAATTCCATTTCTGTTACAGGTTGGTGTAAAAAATATGATTGACTAATAGAAGAAGATAAATTGGAACCATTCATTGAAACTGAAAACAACCCTCAGGCTCTGGAGGATCTAGGTGTCCTTATCAAAGAACACCTTACTGTTGGTACCAAGATTGACAGTATCGTATGCCTAAGGATTCCATTAGTTGAGAAAGATTTTGAGATATTAAGAGATGTTGCAATTGTCAACAAAGTGACAAGATCTAGGACCACATATACCATTTCATCCAGATTTATGTTGACCAAAATTTTTGGGAAAACTTGGGACTACTGTGTGTTGAATGCAGAAGGGGACAATTGCTATGTTAAGACTGCCACTTTGGAATTCTATTTAAGAGTATGAAGAGATTTCAGAGAATATGAAATCAAGAAGCAACCTGAGAGTGATCAACTGGAATTGAAAGCTTGTTCAAATTCTAGAGGAACACAGCTAGTGTTTACTTTTGTTAAGTGTGCCAGCAACCACAGAATGTTGCCACATCTCCTTAATGACCCCTTACTTGGAATAATCAAAAGACTTTTGTTTTTATGACTTTGTTGGTTAGAAATGTTAGTTATACTATCATAGAAAATAGTTGTAATTTCTAGAGAAATTTTGTATGAGATTTTATCATCAGATCAGTTTTGGAAGAAAGCTTCAGATCTAAAAACAGTTGAACAAATTTCTTTAGCTGTGCAAGAGCATTGTACACTTAAACTTTTGCCAAATGACCTTAGTCTTAAATATTTAAGAGCAGAGCTTTTCAGATTAAAGACAAAGGCTTTGAAAGCTAAAGTAAAGGGTGGGAATCAGATCAAGAAGTTTAAGGAGGGACTCAGGTTTACAAAATATAGTTTGGATGTCATGGTTGACAAGGAAGAGACACAGTTAATGGTTGAGACAATAAAGGCAGTCAGTCAGAGGCAGTTAGAAGAAAAAGAAAACAATGACTTAAGAAAAAAGTTATGTAAGTTTAGTTTAGCAACCGAAACTCAAGAAATGAAAAAAACATTGAAGCGCAAACCATTCACAGAATGTACGCCTGGGTATCAATCATACTTAGGTAACGAGACACAGATAAGTGTAGAACAGCATTGAGTTTTCTGACAGAAAATAGGGTTACTCCTATTTCAGTTACAGTTATGAAAAATAACAAAGAAGAGGTTTTGAAACTTTTTGATTATGAGTCTAAAGAAAATTCAGAGTTGAATCAAAATGTTGATGACATAAATACCCTCGTATACATCTTGGATACTTTCAGTATTAGTAATGAAACGTACCATGAATTGAGTATGTTATTTAAAGCACTTCCAAGAAATTATGCTATCAGTAAGGTTGTGGCTGAATTAAATTCTAAGTTCAATATTGAAATTACTCCAGATGGTCTTGGTGTTCAACAATCTCTGAAAAAACACTTGGTAAATGTGTTGTGTAATATATTAGATATGAACAAAAACTTTGCACCAGATGGAGACAACAGAATTAAAATTTCCGGGGATTGCACTAATGTGGGAAAGAGAGTTCATGTTGTAAATGTGACTTTTTTTTTTTGTTTTTTTTATGGTCATGTGGTTCAGCGCGGTGGATTTTACTGTGCCTTTACTTTATAGATATCAACCAAATTTGTCATAGATGTCTAGTGCTATGTAATCTATCATTATACAGACTTTTCTGTGGACATTTCTGAGGTAAAATACGTTTGTGGACTATGATTATCCTGGGTATGGCTCGAGTTGACCACAGTGACCACTACTCACTACGCTACCCGAGCAACATACTTGTGGGAAACTTTACCTTTGTCTGGTACTGGAGCCTCGGCTGGTGTGAAAACCAGAACACAGAGTAGCAGACAAAGTGATATTGGTTTGGAGAAAAAGTCTACTGATAAAAGACTGGATGAAATTCATAATATGCTATCTATGATGGTTACCAGAGACTTCATGGAAACGAAGCTACAGGGTTTAAAACAAGACATAAAGCAAGATAACAAGGTGTTGATAGAGAAAATGGAAGGACGTATATATGTTCTAGAGACAGAGAATGATCACTTTAAGGAAAGAGTACGTCTTCTCAAGAGCCAGATTGACAGAATGGAAGTCAGATTCCGTGAACTAGAATCAAAACATAACAACCTAGAACAACATGGCTGGAAAAATTCGATACGGATCATAGGGATTCCAGATACTAAGGAAAGAGAGACAATTGAGGAATGCATTATCACCAAGTTCACCCACAGAACAAAGAAAATGACTGTCTTACATACACGGAGGAGTTTTAAAAATTCAGGGACTGTGATCTTTGAGGATCTTACCAAGTCTAACCAGGGGAAATGGAGTGAAGCTTACAAACTGAATTGTGTACAGAACACTTATAGTTTGGACAGCAAACTTTTTTGCGACTCTCAAAGACGGGCGGAAATGAAGACTTTTGTATAACACCATCATCACGCATGAGTTTCTGATGAACGATGCTAACATTCGCTAGTTACATGTGTGTTGATTAGGATATATAGTTCAGCATGGGACTACAGACAGACACCTTATGAGTGTCTAGCTAAACTTATCTCAGTTAAGTTCGTCTGATTGTGAATAGTGTATAATTGTGGTGCGAATTTCTTTGTGAATGTGTGGATATATTTTCGAACGCATGGATTTTTAGGATATTTACTTACTACTGTACTTAAAGGTAAGAATAGTTGCAAACATGTGTAATTTGTACATATATATAGATTTACACGTATCTATGCATGATAGATAATTCATTTATGTTCTGTACGTTAAGTACATAATATAGTTCTAATTTCCTATCTTTAGAAACAAGTTGTGCTCTATGTAAATTGTAATATTAGGTATCTTTCTTAATACTCTTCTATAGATAAAATAACGTATTTTTATTGCACCTGACAGCCAGAGCGTCTGTGAACGTCTAGATCGTGTCGCTATCGCCAGGTTTCTTCACTACACAGGTAGTTA